TTACATCATAAAATTCACAAAAATAGATATTTTAAAAGGATGAGATAAACATAAATAAAATTTTATCTTAGAGATAATAGGGAACCACTGGAATTTGTTGAGTAAGAGAGTGATCCAGTCAGACTTGAGCTTTTGGAAAATCGCTTTAGCAGCTGCATGGTGGATGAATTGGAGGAGGAAGAGATGTGAGACCGGGAGTGTAACTAAAAAGGGATTGCAATAGTCCAGGTGAGAGGTGATGAGAGTCTGAATTCAGGCAGCGACTGTGTGAATGGAGAGAAGGGGATGGCTGCGGGAAAGAGATGCTGTGGAGGCAGAAAGGATGAGATGTGGCAAGTGACTGGAGAAGTAGGGACAGGGAGTGGGGAAAGGCAGCTACCTCTGAGGTTGGGAGCCTGGCTGACATGAAGGGTGTTTGAATTCTCAACAGTAATAGGGAAGTTTGGAAAAGGGAGGATTTTGCTAAGCAGATCGCGACCCATCCATGAATGCGCTTCCAGTGAGGCTCACTGTCCTAATGAAAAAGGGGGCGGCAGGGGGCTTCATTACCCTTGAGAGCCCAGCCTGCCCTCCTGGGGCATCTGCACAGTTCCGGGGGATCTGGAAAGCTGGGGATACTAGGGGTGGGGATGAAGAAGAGGGCCAGGGTCGGGGGTTGGGGGGAGAGGGAAAGGATTTTCCCAGTAGCTGTTGCTGTGGGTGACCAGGGAGTGGTTAGGTTATAACTGCATTGCTCGGCGGAGGCTGGTCTCAGAAAAAAAAAGGGGGGGGGGGAGGGAGGGACTTGGCACGGGGGAGGGGGGGGGGGGGGGGGGGGGGGGTGGGAGGAACTGGGACGGCGGGAGGGGGGGGTAGAGTAGGGGATTGTTGGAAGATAAGGGTAGGTGTGGTTGGGTTGGAGACAAGCCTCGTGATTGGCTATTGTAGGCAGGGTGGGCTACGACCCCTCATTCCACCCTGTGATTGGTTGATCACTCCCCTACACACACACACACACACACACACACACACACACACACACACACACACACACACACACACACACACACACACACACACACACACACACACACAACACACCCCACCCACCCCCTCTCATTTTTCAGAGAATTGGAATGACTTGCTCAGGGTCCCACACCTAGTAAGTGTCAGATCGAGTCTTTGGACTCATCATCCAGAGCCCTCCCCCCACCCATTGGCTATGCAAAAGAAGTTTCCAGAACCCTTGCTCTAGGCTGATCACACAGAGCCAGCTATGCTCAAGTATAATTCACACACTGGTGACATAGTGCCTATGAGGAGTAAGCCAGGTGTGGATGGAAGTGGGGGGGGGGGGGAGGCAGACACAACAGCCTTGGCCCTGGCCCAGAGGGTCACTCAGGAGTTGACAGCAGTTTTGGAGCTCTAGACTGGCTCTGCCCTCCTGCAGTAATTACCCTGGCTGGAGCTGAAGTGGTGAGCTTGGACTGGCCCCTGGTAAGAAGGTCCCCTCAGCACCCTTCCCCTGTAAGGCTTCTCATCCTCCACAGGCAATCACAGAAACTCAGAGTTGAATGGACCTCAGAGGGCAGCTAATGAAATCCCTGCCTGAGCAAGAATTCCCCTTGCAACTGCTCCCAACAAGTAAAGGACTAGATTAAATGGAAAAAACATTGGGCATAAAGTCAGAAACACGGGTTCAAGCCCCAGGTCTGTCACAAATTCATGTTGTAAGATGCTTTTCCTCTTTGATCCTCAGTTTCTTCTTCTGTAAAATGTGGGGTGGGGGTGGACTAGGTGATGTCCCTTTAAGGTCTGACAATTCTTTTTTCAGTCATCCAAACTTTACTTGAATAAATCCAATAAAAAGGATTCTCTGTTGAAAAGTGTATTTCACTTTATATACTGTTCAATTGTCTTGGCAGATCATATTTATTTAAGTCATGGCAGATCATAATTATGTAAGTCATGGCCCAGACCGGGTCCAGTGTTGTTTTGTTATTGTTGTTGTTTAGTCATTTCAGTCAAGTCTGACTCTTTGTGACCCCATTTGGGATTTTCCTGGCAAAGATACTGGAGTGGTTTGCCATTTCCTTCTTCAGCTCATTTTTACAGATGAGGAAACTGAGGCAAACAGGCTTGAGTGACTTACCCAGGGTCACAGCTAGGAAGGGTCTGAGGCCAGATTTGAACTCACAAAGACAAGTCTTCCTGACTTTGTGCCCCATTTTATCCACTTTGATACCTAACTGCTTCCAATGTTGTGGGCAGCCCATTGGGCAGCTAGGTGGTGCAGTGGATAGAGTGTCGGCCCTGGAGTCAAGAAGACTCAATTTCCTTTGTTCAAAGCTAGCCTCAAACACTTCCTAGCTATGTGATCCTGGGCAAGTCACTTAACCGTGTTTGCCTCAGTTTCCTCATCTGTAAAATGAGCTGGAGAAGGAAATGGTAAAACCACTCCAGTATTTGCCAAGAAAACCCCAACCTCACAAAGAGTCAGACATGACTGCAATAACTGTGGGCAACCCTGAAAACACACATATTCTCTTTGGCTCATGCCCCCCACTGGCCTCTGGGAAATCTTGGAATGCTGCTCAAATATGATTTGCATCTAGGTCTCCACAGATGTGAATAAAAGGGTTCCCACCTCAAGGTATCAGTGTATATCAGCTATAGGACAGCTTTTATTCCACCCAATAGAAAATAATAAAACCCATAAATCAACTTCCCACACTGACTCCAAGCCAACATCCCCCAACCCCTAGCTCTGCCAAGCAGAGAGAAAGTCTGATCCTTCCATGTGACCATGGGTCAACTCTTTGCCGGGACTCTGGATCCCCTAGCTATAAGCCCACATCTTGGTGGACCTAAACAGCCTCCTCAGAGGAGTTGGCAGATCCCAAGATCGGTAGATTCCGAGCTGCAAGGGATTTTAGAGGCCAGCCTCCTCATTTCAAAGATGAGAAAGAGGAGGCCCAGAAAAGTAAAGCGATCTGCCCAAGGTCACACAGTAGCAGAGCAGGATCTGGCCTCAAGTCTACTGAGTCCAAATGCAAAGCTCAGTGCCCTAAATCTATGTTGCCTCATGAGGAAAGGAGCAGAGCATAGATTCAAAGCCAGGTTGCCAGACTCCCAAACCAGTTTTCTTTCCTTTCCACTCCATTATCCCTCCCTCCACTTCGCCCCCGAACAGAATCCAAGAGTCCCTGGAGCGAGTGGGGAGGGATGAGGAGGTACAGCGGAAGGGGGAGTGGAGAAGGGGCTGCTCAGATTCTTTGTGAGGGATGTAGAGGGGAGGGGGGATGTGCGAGAGCCTCCTTGTTATTCTGCTCCCACCTCCTCTGCTTTGCAGGCTTTAGAGCCCATCATGAATATAAGAGAACATTTTGACGTCAGCAGTGAGCTTTATCAGCAGACCCAATAGGGTAAGAATATTAAGTGCTAGTCAATACCATAGCTTTATTAGCAGCCTTCACCACGGAGTAGGGCTTCAGATCCGGAGACTGGTCAGAGGAAGAGGAAGGAGCAGCAGTCTTCAAAGGCTCCGCTGAGCCTTGATCGCTGGGACCGGACCGGCTGGTCAAGCCGGCCCAAGTAAGAGATGGGTGTTGCATGACTCCAGACTGGGCGCGGGTCGGAATGGGCAGGGGCAGAGGGTGGCAGGGAACGGAAAATCAAGGGCAATGGAGTGGAGGGCAAGGGGCGTGGGAGGGAGGCAGGAGTAGGGCATCGGGGAATGTTGGGTCTAGGATGAGTAGGGGAGCCTCTGTCCATGGTACCGATCGGGGCTGGACGGAGACTGGGGCTGGGATACGGGTTGGGATCAACAGTGGAGGGCACGTCCTTTTTTCCCCAAGGAACAGCTATGGGTGGCTGGAGAACATTTGCCTCCTCCGCGAACCCTGAGGTACCTTAGCCGCAGGTTGCCACCGAGCCAAGGGCAGAGCGCTGGGGGCAGGCTGGGCTGAGGTCTCAGAAATAGCCCGAGAGGAGAAGGGAGCCCAGCTCGGCTCCGCGCAGAGCGCAGCGCCCAGGCTGGGTGTCTTTGCAGCGGCTGCAGCGGTGTCCAGGGAAATGTTGCACCAAACACACACGGGCGCGCGCGCGCCACACACACACACACACACACACACACACACACACACACACACACACACCGCCGCCAACATCACCACCACCAACATCACCACTACCAAGAAAACCCCTAAAACAAAGTGATCTACTGAGCCCGGACTTCTCCCTCAGCCACGTATTTGAGAGGCGGCTCTCCGGGGGAAGCTAGCCTCCAGGGTGTTGAGGAGGCAGAAACCAAGAATCCAGACAGAAAGACCCCTCGAGGTTCTGAAACTAGGGACGGGGATGGAGGAGAGGGTCCCTTGACAATTGTGGGGTCAAACACACCCACACACACAGAAGAGGAAGACAAATGTAAAAAGGGCTGATTTCCACCTAGGGACTTAGAAAATTGACAGAAAGATAGCCTGATGCACTGAAGAGGGCGAGAAAGACCCAAGCCCTGGGACATAGATTGGGGTGGACTGACAGAAAGACACTCTGAGGCCTTAGAGAGATAGACAGAAAGCATCCGAAGGCACAGAGAGACCTCGAGAAAAAAACCTGGGACGTAGGGAGGCGAACAGACAGAAAGACAACCTGAGGCTTAGAAAGGACAGGAAGTCCAGTATTGTGAGGCTTAAAGACACTGGTAGACAGTCCCCCTGGATCTTCGAAACATCGAACACCAGGCAAACACAGACAGATGGTAACCCTGGGTCACAGATAGACAGAAGCGCAGTTCATCTCTGCCTCTGCCAAACCATGGCGCCCCCGAGAGTCATGGGTGGGGTGGTCAGCTTCAGGGACCTTCTATCTATCTCATTGTCTCCCCCCATCCCAAATTCCCAGAGTCCAGAGGTTGCACTGCTTTTCCCCTGCTCTGTTCCTTTCCCGCTCTTCTTGCCCTGCCCCTCAGCCCCAGCCCCTGATCCGTCTTTTTCCTTTCTGCCTTCCTTTCCACAGAAATGGTCCCCCAACCGACGCAGTCGCCTCTCGAGTCGCCCCTTGAGCTCTTGATCCACGCCTCAGCCTCCACCGGCTCCAGCCCTGGCCCAGGCACCAGCCCCAGCACCGCCACGGATGCCTCACCTCCCCCACCGCCAGATGGCAGTTCCTGGCCCCCCAACGGCTCCTGGCCGATGGGCCGTGGCCGGGGTCTGGGAAGCGGCGAGGGGGTGAGCCCGTGGGACATCGCCCTGTGCGCAGCAGGCACAGTCATGGCCTGCGAGAACGCCCTGGTGCTGGCCGTGCTCTGTTGCACTCCCAGCCTTCGGGCTCCCACCTTTATGCTTATAGGTAGCCTCGCCCTGGCCGACCTGCTCTCTGGCGTAGGCCTGGTGGCCAACTTCGTTGTCAGATGCGTGATGGATCCGGTGAGCGATGCTGTAGCCCTGTGTCTGGCCGGTTTGCTGCTGTCCGCCTTTTCGGCCTCTGCTTGTAGTCTGCTGGCCATCACGGTGGATCGATACCTGTCCCTGTACAGCGCTCTCACCTACCAGGCCGAACGCACTCTGCCCTTCACCTGTGGTCTCCTGGCGGCTCTCTGGCTCACCTGTCTCGGCATCGGTGCTCTTCCCGCTATGGGATGGCATTGCCTGGACACCCCTGACAACTGCAGCGTTCTGAGCCCCCTGACCAAGGATCAGGCGGCCGGGCTGTCTGTCTCCTATCTGTTCCTCTTTTCCTTTATTCTGCATCTCTACCTGCAGATCTGCCGGGTCGCCTTCCGCCACGCGCAGCAGATCGCTGTCCAGCGCCACATTGTCAACAATGCTGGCTCTCCCATGCCGTCCGCCTTCTGCCTGGTGTCCAGCACTCGCAAGGGCGTGTCCACTCTCTCGCTGGTCCTGGCCACCTTCGCCTTCTGCTGGGTGCCCTTGGCCGTCTACGCGATGGTGGCTGACCCTACCTATCCTCAGGTCTACACCTACTTCCTGGCGCTGCCAGCCGCCTGCCACTCGGCCATTAACCCGGTGGTCTACGGCTTTCGCAACCCAGAGATTCAGAGGTCTCTGTCGGTTGCCTACACCACCTATTTGCGCTCCCTCTTCTCCCGACCTCGGGGTTCCACCAGCAACGTCTGAGGCTCTGAGAGAGGGAGTGGGGCGAGGGTCCGGGAGGAGAGGTTGAGGAGTGTCGAGGGGGGTCTGAGGAATGAGTGGGGTGGACGAGCCCGGGGCTTCTCGGCTGAGAGGTCCTGGGCCAGAGGAGGGGCAGGGAACATCGAAGGGGGAGGCTCCATGTGAGCACAGAACAAAATGGGGAAAGGTGGAGTGGGAAATCCCTTCCGGGGTAGAGTTGCCCCCTCGTGATGGAATCAGCCTCTGGCCTTTCGCCCCCTGACCTTGCTGCCTCCCTCCCGGGCTGCAAGGCTCCCCCCCCCCCCCCCCCCCATTCAGCTCCATGCTCTTATCCGCTCCAACTCGGAAGCGGTTTCACGCTGGCTGCTCTGTGCGCATTTGTGCGTGTTTGTACGTGTTTGTGCCTATGTGCTGGTGGAAGCAGAAGCACTATCCCAAAATTCTTCAACTCTAGGAGGGGGCTTGGGGAGGTGTCCCCTCAGCCTTCCGAGGAACCCTAGGCTTGGAAGAGGGAAAGAACAGGATCTCCTGGGGGAAGATGAGGGTTGGGTTCCTCAACTGGAAATGGGGGAGACGTCTCCCTTGTCGTGCCCTGCTTTCTCCCTCCCCCCCTAGACCCTATTCCCTACTTCCCTTCCCCAGTCCCAGATGGGCATTCTGCCCCCAAGCACCTCTGGAGCTCTGTGTTTCAGCACCAACAAGCATGGAAAGCTCCCGGCTGGGAGAAGTCTTGAGTTCTACAAAGCAAGTCACCTGGGGAGGCTGCAGGCTTGTTCCCTCCCTCTCAGGAAGAGTGTGGAGTCGCGGGAGGACTCGAAAGGGAAAAACAAACAAACAAACAAACAAACAAAAAAACAAGACCCCTGCGTCGTTGTCACTTTGACTTTAAATTGTCATTCCAGAGGTGGCTGACTCCCCTACTCCCAATCTTTGTAGAGTTTGCAATGCACTTTGGAATACCCTCTCCTTCCTGGCAAAGGAAATCGGGTGGCCATTAGAAGCACAAGTCTTGTCCTACCTCCCAGGTTCAGAGGGAGCTATTCCTCCACAGTCCCTGCCCATGAAAGTATCAGGCTTTAATTGGGGGGTGGGAATTTAAGTGTCTACAGACAGTAGCTGTGGGAGCCAGGAGGGGACAGAGGAGGGTGCAAGAATGGATGTTCAGAACTCAGTCGGCCCTTCCCCTGCTATTTCCACCTGTGTATCTCTCAATGTGTCTATAGTAAATTCTTAAGGGGACTCGGGTTGCTTGCTCTCCCATCTTGTGCTGGGTTGTGGTGCAAAATAAAGTCTTTTACCTGCAAATCAATTTGTTGTATCTGTGTTTTTTTCTCGCGGCAAGGGCAGGTTGGGTGGATGATGGTCATTCATTCCCACTGGGGAACAGGGAGGGAGAGGGGTGAGGGAAGGTCTTGCCAGACTGGGAAATGAAAAATAAAACAAACCATGAATGACCAAACAAGGGATGCTGCCCAAAGTGTCCAGGAAGCCTATGAACCTCTTCTTTCCTCTTGGGGGAAAAAACACCAAAGACACCCTTTCAAAAGTCACAGCCACTCCCCCCAGCCTATCAAAGTCCCTAGCAGGCTAGACAGTGAGAGTTCAAGCCTTGGGCCTGAAGGTGCCCCACTTCCCTCACCAGAGGGACAAAATGTGTTGAGCTGTAGTAGCTGCTATGACCTTTGGTTTCTTTGCTGTGGAGACCAAGTTATTGGTCTGAGTCTGAATCCAGGTGCAGCACCATTGACCTCTAGAAGTGTAAGCCCTCTTGCCAGCTAGCTGTGACCTTTGAGCTGATAACTGAACAGTTATCCATGGTGCATGCTTAGCCCTGAATTGTTATCAGGCTTCTAAAGTATCTGTCTTTACCCACATTTAACTCCAATCAAGTACACATCCTAAGCCACCATGACCCTCAGTGGCTGGCCTAAGTCAGATCCTAAAGCTCCTGGAATGGGGGGGGGAATCTGGCCTCAAGCTGCAGCTCCTAGGCCATGACCAACTGCCCACCAGCCACCTGTGAAGAAGCAGCCAGAGTTGGGCTGAAGCAACTCAGGGACCACTGGATGAATCCTTGCAATTTAGTATAATAAAAAAATCATCTGGGGGAGATGGCTGGGGTGGGCACATAGGTGGGACATGACTACTTCACAGCTCCTGCCCCTAAGGTGCATCAGCTATAGGGTTGAGATGGGGTTGGGAGGTCTAAGTATGAGGATAAGGACTCCCCCTCATAAAATAGGATTAACCTACCCACCCACCCATCAGATTTTCCCTTTCTTCCAGTGTCTCCGGCCTTCCTGTTGTCTACAAAGAGTGAGTGGAATGTAGCCCCACTGATCAGACAAGCTTTAGAGTAAAATCACTTTGGCAACTGAAGATGGATTTAGAGTGGTGGGAAACTTGAGACAAGGACACCAGGCTGTTGAAATAGGACAGGCAGGAGGTGATAAGGACCTGTACTAGGCTTGTGGCTGCATGAGTGGCGAGGAGATAGATGTCAGAGAGATGTTTCGGAAGTAGAAATGATAATATTTGGCAACTGTTTGGAGATCTGGGTAAGGGAGAATGATTCAAAGATGACACAGAGACTGTAAATTCTGGATGACTGGAAGGATGGTGGTGCCCTCAACAGTAATTGGGAAGTTCCAAAGTGGGGAGCATTCAGGGGAAAAGAGAATGAGTTCTATACCCAGTTCTAGATATCCAAGAAGCAATTAGAGATGTGAGGGTGAAGCTCAATAGATAAATGGGTGCTAGAGCTATAGATTTAGCATCTACAGAAATGATCATTGAATATGTGGTAGCTGGTGAGATTGCCAACTAAAATAGTATAAAATGAAAAGAGAGGGGGCCCAGTTTAGAGCCTTATGGGGGATACTCATGGTTACCAAGCATGACATTGATAAAGAATCAGCAAAGAAGACTGAGAAGTGGTCAGAAAGGAGGAGAAGCAGGAGAGAGAAGCATCACAAAAACCTAGAGAGAAGAGACTACCAGGACAGTGTCAAAAGCATCAGGGAGGTCAAGAAGAATCAGGATTGAGAAAAGGATGCTTAATCGGGTAATTAAGAGATCATTGACAATGTTGTAGAGGGCAGATTCAGTTGAGTGATGAGGTTGGAAGCCATATTAAACATGTAGAAGACAGTGAGAGGAAAGGAAGTAAAGGGAGCAAATGTAGATGGTTTTCTCAAGGGGTTTAGCCACAAAGAAAATGAAAGATATAGGTTGAAAAGTAGCAGGGATGGTAAGATTTTTGAGGATGAGAGAGATAGGGTCTCATTTGACGGAGAAGGTACTGGCAAATGAATCCACAGGCATATCAATCCCAATTTTCCTTTTTTTATTTTTAATTTCCAGTTCAAAATTCTCTTCCTTCCTCCACTCCCTCTTCCATGAATTGAGAAGGCAAGAAATAAGATACTCATTATACATATGATGTCATGCAAGACATATTTCCAAATCAGCCGTGTTGTGAGAAAAAAGCAAGAAAAATAAACATGCACACACACACACACACACACACACACACACACACACAAACTTCAATCTGCACTCAGAGTTCATCAGTTCTCTATCTGGAGGAGGATACCATTTTTCATCACGAGTCCTTTGAAATTATTGTGGATTTGTATATTGATCAGAATTGCTAAGTCTTTCACAATTGATTGTTGCTATAATATTGCTGTTTCTGTGTACACTGTTCACTTGGTTCTCTTCACTTCACTTTCCATTAGTTCATATAAGTCTGAAACCTTCCCTTCATCATTTCCTTCATCAGTTCTTACAGCACAATAGTATTCCATCAAGTTAATATACCACAACTTATTCAGATATTCTCCAATTCTTTGCCACTACAAAGAGAGCTATTATAAATATTTTTGCACATTTGAGCCCTTTTCCTTTTTTCTTTGATCTCCTTGGGGTATGGCTCAAAATGGTATTGCTGGTCAAAGGGTATGAACAGTTTTATAGCCCTTTAGGCATATTCCAAATGATTCTCCAGAGGGGTTGAATCAGTCCATAACTCCACCAACAGTGCATTAGAGTTTCAGTTTTTCCACATTCCCTCCAGCATTTGTCATTTTCTTTTTCTGTCATTATTAGTCATCCTGATAAGTGTGAGGTGGTACCTCAGAGTTGTTTTAATTTGCATTTCTCTAATCAATAGTGATATAGAACAACTTTTTGTATGACTATAACTTTGATTTCTTCTTCTGAAAACTTCCTGTTCATATCCTTTGGCCATTTATCAATTGAGGAATGGTTCTTATTTAGCTCCTTATATGTTTGAGAAATGAGACTTTTATCAGAGCAATTTGCTATAAAATCCCCCCACCCCAGTTTCCTGTTTTTTTTTTCTAATTTTGGCTGCATTTGGCTAACTTGGTTTTGTGTTTTTTTTAATGTAATTGAGTGTGATCAAAATTATCCATTTCATCTCCCATAATCCTTTCTATCTCCTGTTTGGTCATGAATTCTTCTCTTCTCCATAAATCTTCAGGTAATTTTTTTCCATGTTTCCCTAATTTGATTAAGATATCACCTTTTATGTGCAAATCATACACCCACTTTGAGCTTTTCTTGGTATATGACGTGAGATGTTTACCTATGTCTAGTTTCTGCCAGAATACTTTCTAATTTTCATCAGTTCTTGCCCCAATAGCTAGGATTTTCAGTTTTATCAAATACTAAGTTACTGTGCTCATTTGCTTCTGAATGTTATGTGTTTAATCTATTCCACTGACCAACCACTGTATTTCCTATAAAGGACCAGATTGTTTTGATTATTACCATTTTTGTTTGAGATCTGGTATTGGTAGGGTGTCTCTCTTTGCTTTTTATTTTCATTGATTCCCTTGATATTCTTGACTTTTTGATCCTCCAGATGAATTTTGTTAGTATTTTTTCTAGCTCTATAAAGTAATTACTTGGTAGTTTGATTAATATGACATTGAATGAGTAAATTAATTTAGGTCATATTCTCATTTTTATCATAT